GTGTGTGTGTGTGTCTGTCAGTGATAATAATGCTTCTCTCTGTCAGTTCAGTTATCAATAAAGTGTAACAGCTCTTCTGATCACTGATAGTCTTCATATCGTCCCATCTCTGTTAGCATGTGTTAACAATGACTGTTTGTTTGTTTGTTCAGGCTGCTGAGGACTCTGCTGTTCCTGAGGAGAAGATGAGCTCTCCCCCCGTCAGTAAGGTACGTCAGAGACCGGCTCCCTGTCAGAGAGACCTGGCTGATATGATCCGACTGTAAAGGTGAACATTATGAAGTGAGACAGAGTGTAACAGATAGTGTCCCTGTTCCTGTCGTGCACAGATCCCCAGATATAAAGGCCCCAGTCTCAGAGGACAGAGTCAGACAGCAGCCAAGGTATAAAGACACTGCTTCATAATTCGCTTCCTCTGCTCACTAACACTGACGCACACAGACTGCTTCCACCTCTTTCTGCAACCTCCCAGCAGTCAGCAGTCCTCATGGAGGCTTTTATAATGATCCAATTCATTTAGTCAACATAATCAATAAAGCAGACGAGTGCTGACAGCACCAACATACACACTGCCACAGTTTCATCAGTAGACCTCAGTCAGTAATAACAACACTGCGTACGGTCGACTAACAGTTAGTATAATTAACAGTGGTCAACAATAGGACTAGCAGCTATCCAGATGTTGATATTATATATTCTTATATTATAATGCGGACTGGATGTGGGAGAGTCTCTTATAGAAAGTATCAGTGAGTTGAACAGCCAATGGGATGTGAGTATCAGTGTTGTGGTGATGGTGCTGTCAGATTTATCACACATTCCCACATTGTTCATTTAGAACGATGAACAGACAGTGTCCTACATCAGGAAGTAATGGACCCCCAGCAGCCAATCAGAGTGCAGGACTCAGCCAGACAGCTGGTATAAATACATGTTTAAATACATAGATAATAAAAAATAATAAAAGGCTGGGATCCAAAGCTACACATGAAGTTTAATTAGCAGATATTTGGGCTGCTGACCTAAATGAAGCGGCTGTGGTGAATCTGTCTGCGCAGTGAGAGCAGAGTGGGAGGAGGTTACCGTCACTGTGAGAGCTGCACTTTAATGTAATACTTCATTTCCCTCAGAAACAGGAAACACAGCCTCCCCAGACAGACACCGGCTGCACTGGAGCCGGTGGAACACACAGGAAGTGATGTCAGGATTTTGAGGAGTCCCCCTTAGTTTCACTTTGACGTCTCTGCCAGTTAAAGTAGGAGTGGAGGCGTGATTTAACTTTCATACACAGTCTGTGGAGGGACTGTTCCTCCTGAAAGTGAAACAGTTTCTATCAGCAGAATAAACAGAAGAATAAAGTGGAACTGCAGCTCTCCATGAATCCTTCAGTCTGAACACAGCAGCCCCTGCTCACTGAACCACCGCCAGAGTCTGTGAGACAAACACAGGACATATAGCAGCATATAAAGCAGCTTTTCTACAGCGACACAAAGGTCTTTATACCTAAACCCGATGTTTGCTGATGTTGCAGATAAATGGCAGCTAGCACAGTATGCTACGTAGCTCTGACTCTGCTGGACACCAACAATAAGAGAGTTCCTCCACCAGACAGATACCTTCACACACAACCAGAAACAGTGGATATCGTTACCAATGAACAGCAGGGCGCAGACGCATTAGCCTCTTGTTTTAAAGAGCTGCTGTGATTTGTATAGAGTTCTAAACTGAGTAGATCTGGTTCCATTACAGATTTATCCACACTTCCTGTCATCAATAGAGATCAGATCTCTCTCTCAGGCTTGTGTACTGGCTCTGGAGGTTAGAGACGAGTTCAGGGCTCTACAAAGTCACAGGATTAGTTAATGTCTATTCTTGTCAATACAGGATCAATATCA